TTTATTTATTGTCTTTCAGGAAAAAATGCTGTAAGGGTTATAAATTTGTGCTTGGACAATGCATCCCTGAAGGTAGGTTATTTCCTTTTTCTTACATTACATAACTTACTTCTTATTTCTTCTGTTTTCTGCACTGTTCATTTGGGAAAATAATGAGCAAACACAGACATGGTTGTGTGTTGTGTACCCATGAGGAAATCCTTTATAGGATAACAACATCAAAGTTTATGTCTCCAGCATGTTTCTTTTGGGATATTGGGTCTTAATTCTACCTAAATACATTTGGTTGCAAAGATCTTGAAATGTGAACAAGTTGCTCAGAACCCCCGATGACTTGCCATTTTCACCTTCGTAATCAAGTTCTCCATTATCCAACTGAAGCGCTGGGAAGACCCATGACAAAAAACAAGTCCCGAGAAACTCGTAAGTTTGCCCAGGACAAGACCCAACACAGTGAAACAAAGGATGACATTTGCTTGAGATCACTGCAACAGGGGCTGCTTGTTTTACCATTCTGCTTTGAGCTCTGAGCTGGTGTTTGTGAGTAGAGCTGGTGATTAGCCTTGGAAGGAGCTCCTATGGCCCCGTTAACTTCAGTAAACTTTCTCTGAGGGCTCTAGACCTTTATAAGCTCAGAGAATTACTTTCCTTATGTGAACTTATTTACTAGCTGAGGTTCCCTATGTCCAGTTCAGTCACCGTTGTATCTCCATTAAGCTCTTTTCAATCTGACCTAATTTCTACTAGGCCATTGCAATGTCTGTGAGAGCTGACAGTCTGGGGCTGTAGTGTATGGATTAGAAATCTTGGTATTCAATGAAGCACTTGTTACAACTTACTCTGTTAAAACACAGAACTTGGCTCTCCATACATGGGTTCAGCAAGATCCTGACAGGATGAGCATATGAAATGCATTTTACCTCCTGGCATGTAAATATATTGCTGATGTTAGTTTCTTTATTAAAGTATGTCTGCACACTTTAGCCATTACTGGCAAATCAGAGCACAGGGAAAGCAGCTGTAGCACTGTTCTTGTGATGAGCAGTGAGCAGAAAGAAGATGGGCCTGGGACCTGCTTGCTTCACCTCCTGTATTATCTCTCTCCCTCTGTGGGAGGCGCTGTTTAAACAGTCTGTCACCCTCAAAGGTGATGGCATTGCCACTGAGCTGCTTCAGCATCCTTTCTTTATGCTTTATTTTCCCCATCCGTAAAGATGGAAATAGGTTTGACAAACAGAACTTCAGCAAAACTTAGAAATCATCTCCTTCACACACTCTACTCCCAAAGAAATCACCTCAAGAAGGAAATCAACACATGCTACAAGCACCTACAAGAGATGAATCCGGCTGTCTTCCATCACATTATACAATGTATACAGCAAGACTACAAAGGATGTATTACAGTATCCATCCAACACAAAAAGAAGAAATGGAACAAAGTACTACAGGAACAACTTTCCCAGCCACAAAACAAGCCTCAGAAAAACACCGCCAACACTGTACGACATCCCAACATCATACTCAATGAAACAGAAGGAATCAACCAACCCTCTAATATAATCAATCTCTCCGCACATACACTTACCAAAGCTGAAAAATCTGTCTTCTCCGAAGGCCTTAATTTCTGTCCAGAAAAACACCCAAATAAGATGCTACAATGTGGAGAGCTAGAAGAATGTCCTCAGTGTCTCCATCTGATGGGATATTTTCACAATCAAAAGGAATCCACTTTCAACACAAATTCAGCTGGTGACAACATCGATGAAAAGATCAATGACAAAAAAGCCCAGAACACCTCAGACTGGACAAAATTCAAACCTTGATCGCTACACTGACTGCTTCAGAGAAAGAATGAACAATGAAATACTCAATGACAAACACCACTACAACAACATAGGATCTTTAAGATCCAACCACCAAATAGTAATAAAACTGGCAAATAAAAGAGGAGCTATAGTTATATTAACCATGAAGACTATGTACAAGAAGCCAAGAGACAACTCTCTGACACTACTTACTATAAAAAACTAGAGGAAGATCCTATTCCCCTTTTCTCCTCAAAACTCAAAACCACCATCACATCATTTCCATTGGAACTACAAGAAAAACTTCAGACCCACTACCCAATCCAGGGACTTTTTACCTGCTCCCTAAAATCCAGAAACAAGGAAACCCCGGCAGAGCTATCATTTCAAACCATGGAACCGTAACAGAAGACAGCAGGTTTCATCAAATCCATCTTAAAACCACTCATCACCCAAAGAGTTGAGTTTCATTCAAGACACAACTGACTTCCTGTGAAAACTCAAAAACATAGACCACCTTCCCAGTGATACCCTTCTAGCCACCAACATCCCATACCAGGATGGCCTCCAAGCCTGCCTCAAATATCTACAAGAACGAGATTACAGCTCACAGTACAGACCTTAGGATATCCCTGAATGCATAAACTTCATCCTTGCACACAAAAACTTCAGTTTCAACCCAGGTTCCCTTTAAGCTGTGTGTGTGCGTGGCTACGCACAAAAAAAAATCTTGTCACACATTCACTTTTCAATGCTGCACACCTGCCCAGAGAGGAGCTGGGCTGTGGCTTTCTGGAAACTCGGAGTGCGGCAGAGGCACCAGGGCCAGAGTGGGACACTTACCGGCAGTAAGTTACCGCTCGGCTGCACTCCACTCCTCACTGTGCCGGCATCCCTGCAGGGAGGGAGAGAGGCACAAGGGCAGGCAGCGGCTCTTCCCCGAGGTGGGGACAAGGGCTGGGGCTGGGGCAGAGCTGGGCACCGCTGGCTCCGGAGAACTGCTCTGCTCCCCAGCCCCTCTGGGTGAGCTTCGCCCCAAGCCCCAATGCCATGTGCCTCCTCGCTGCCTGGTTTGCCCAGCGGCAGGACTCACGTGGCTCCACACCACTTTCAAAGGCTGCAGAGGCACAGAGGCAATGCTGATCATTTTTGAAAGAGTGATGAAATCTGCCAGATAGGGAAGAGGAGTAGTTAGACATGTAATTGTGACATTTCTCAATAATATATTTCCTAGTGTTCGATCCAGTCTTGATTTAAATGTCCCAGACAACTGGACTATATATAGCGATGTACTATTCCATTTATTCTATTCTGTTCTTCAGTGTTTCACAGTACCTGAGAGCTTTACAGAGTATATTAAATGATGTGATTCATGTCTGTCACATGTGAGCCATTCTCTTTTGCATTCTCTCCTCAGGTGGACAATTCTACATAAACTTTTCTGTTTTGGTAGGGTTTTATATTTTAATTTTTTACTGTATACCTTGTAGCTATCGGAGAACAAATATTGCAAACAAGAGAGGCATGCACAAAAAAAAATCTACTTAAAAACTACACAGGTGGAAGAGAGCTGCTTAGATCACAGGCATAAATAAAATGTTAATCTTTATGTATAGTTTAGTATTTCAAGACTCTCTTCTCCCAAATAATGTTGTGAGAATAATTTGTTCAGCATGCCAAAAGGGGGAGATGGGATCAATCTGTGAATGCGCTGAAGCAGCGCACTCATGGAGTGAGGCAGGATGCTTACGGACCAAAGCGGCATGCTTATGGATTGCTATGGCTTAGAGGGAATATTGGTTTCAACAACCAACACTTTCTTCAGGCTATAGGCACAGGTATGGGCACCAAAATGGCCCCACAATATACCAATCTTTTATGGCCCATCTAAAAGAAGACTTTCTCAGGAAGTGCACCATCAAACCCTTACTATACCTGAGATGTATAGATGACATATTCATCATTTGGACTGAAACGCTGCAGTCTGTAATTGATTTCCACCAAAAATTCAACCATCATCAACCCTCCATCAAACTATCACTTGAATACTCTAACACCAACATTTACTTTTTGGACACCATGATCACTATCCAAGATGGTAAAATTCAAATCACCATGTATAAGAAACCCACAGACCAACAAACATATATACACAGAACCAGCAATCACCCTAAATACACCAAGAAAGCTGTAATATACAGCCAAGCTCTCCAGTAGCACTGAATTTACAGCAAGGAGTATACCCGTGACCACCACCTCACAGATCTCAGAAGAGCCTTCAGGCAAGAAGGACCCTTCTCCAGAGAGAGAGATTGTACTTGAAAGAGCCGCCCGGATACCATGTGAAGATTTGCAAAATGAAAATCCCTACAAATTGCACACCATTAGTTATGACAGATCACCCTTCCCTGGAACCTACACGGAAAATCCTCAGACAATTGCAACCAATACTAGAAGATCCCTCTCTTAAAGAGATCTTTCCAGAACTGCCCGTTCTAGCCTTTAAACAGGGACTGAACTTCATTAAATTCATCACTGGAAGCAAACTGCCTATGAACCAAACCACATTGAATGGATCCAGACCATGCCAAGACAAGAAATGCAAAACTTGCCAACACATCTCCACCACGCCTACAATAAATACACCCCACAACAGAACCATCACCATTCCTGGATCTTGCAGCTGCACCTCCAGAAGTGTTATATATCTCATCCAGTGGACCAAATGCTCTGACGGAAAATATGTAGGAGAAACCAAACAACTGCACACCAGAATGAACGCACACTGAAAATCTATTAAAAACAAGAATACCCAACTACCTGTGGGGGCACATTCCTTCACAAGACAATCACTTTGTCTCCAATCTCTTGGTTTTAATCCTCAAAGGGAACTTACAAAACACCTTCAGTCAGTCAGTTGTGTTTCCACAGTGTGTGTGATTTTAATTATTTTTTTAAAAGCCTGTTGATAGTTATGCGTAGAAAGTTTTAAAGTATTTTATGTAGGTGATGTCGTTACTGTCATTTATGAAGTTAGGGTGGGAAAAACAAATTACTTTTATGTAACTGACATTTAACTGACCTTAACCCCTTATTTGGAGCAATAAGAAGAGCACGTGTGAGTGCTCCTTTCCTAAATTACTTGATTTGTAGAAAAACTGAGATTAAGAATTACAGTTTAACAAAATAAGCCAGATGTGTTTCAGGGCAATATCACTTCCATGTTTCTTTGATCCATTGTGATAATGTAATAATACTTTGTTAATTAACCTAAGATGTACTACAATAGCAAATCAAGTTCCTGTCCTTGACATGTGGCACCTGCTACCAATATCTTACTAAAGCACAGTTTTCTTTCTTTAGATTATGATGTGTGTGCAGAGGCTCCTTGTGAACAGCAGTGCACAGATAACTTCGGGCGAGTTTTATGTACATGTTATCCTGGATACCGGTACGACCGTGAGAGACACAGGAACAGAGAAAAACCCTATTGCCTAGGTGGGTAGAAGGGGTATGTCAACTTTGTCTCCCAGTAAGGAAGTGTCTCATTTCAGGGAGAATTTACAGTTTCTTTAAAAGTTGGTTTCTCAGAAGGTGAATGGTGCCAGGCCCTTTCCTCTTTCTTCTTTTATATGTTGAATAAGTTTTTTGCCTTGTTAATTCCTCCTCTGCTTCCCTCATCCCCCATAGACTCTAAGAAGGCTTCAAGCTATTTGGCAAGAGAACTGAGGCTCAATTCTCGCATCAAAACTAAATGTGGGGAAACAATGTTTAACTATGAAAACAAACCTTGGAGGTTCAATACAGATAGTAAGCACTTAATTCAGGCATGAATCCTTTACATGTGTCTGTCATGTAACTAACTTCAGCTAACTCAGTAGTATTACCTTGCATAGGCTAGTATTCATGCAAGCAAATGTTTGCCTGTAAACTCCATGAAGGAAAACTCAGCACGCAGTGTTCCTCTGTAAGGTGCTGTGTGTGTTAATACACTACACATGAAACTCAGGCCCAGCTCCCCAGAAGTTCTATGACTGCTGAGAATAATAAGACCCTTAAGAGAAGTCACTTATTTCATTTGAGCTCTGGACCTCTGTAATTTTTGGGTATTCTTGACATTTGCTTAACATCAGATATTGATGAGTGTGCCACAAGCAATGGGACTCTCTGCTCTCAGATCTGCATCAACACTCCAGGCAGCTACCGGTGTGAGTGCCATGAAGGCTATATCCAAGAGGATGACGGGAGGACCTGCACCAAAGGAGATAAAGGTATATTTTAGCGTGTATTAAGTATCTTGAGCCAAAAATAGCCCAAAGAACGTGGCCCACCGTAGTGGTTGTGGAAGTTTAATTCAGCTAGTGTAAAACTCAGGTTCACTGGTGTAACAGAACTGATCTGGCCCATTGACTTGGGTTACCAAACAGGAATCAAACTGTCCAAAATCTGTATTATATTTCCATCACCCCCTATTAACGGTGCTCCTGGGGCAGGCACGCTGTGGAAAAGCCATGTGGGTGGCCTTGGCCTCCTGTTGACTACAAAGTATCCACTGGATTTCAGTACTCACTGTTTGCTCTGCAGGAAGGCAAAGCACCTTTAGCTGATTGAATGATTGGGGAGAAAACCCCAGGAGGAGAACCTCTTGGTGATTTAGTTCTCCCTTTGCCATGGGAGATGAAAATCAGGTATAGTCCCACACAGTGCAATCACATGATAGGTGCACCTCATTCCATGGGCTTGCCACGGTGCTGAAAGAAGTGTTCATACATTGATGGCAAATCTTGGTTCTCAACAACTTGACTGCTATGTTTGGGGGCTAAATAACCTGTGCTGAGCTTAAACCATGACTGCCTCTGAGTTAGTGGACCCTTGAGCCCAGGGGGCAATTTTATGGCTTGTTTTGGCTGTACTTTCCCCTTACCACTAGTATATTTGCTGCAGACACGTCACAGTAAATCAGTTCTCACATCTGCATGTGAGGAGGGAAGATGAGGGAGAGTCCTGGAGAGAAAGAAAAGATGAATAACAAAGCTCACCCTTATAATTTTTTTAACTACTTTTTCTGGGTCATTGACAAAAATAGAAAATATAAGTAATGTATTAAACAAGGATCCTGTTTTCCTCCTGGTTAAAGTACTGTAAATCCAGCATAGATTCAAATAGTATTGTATCTGAAAACAGGACTTGTCCCACCTACTGGATTTTGGAAGAAAAATGGACCACATTTCATTAACATAACTGGATTTGGTTTACCCTGCTGAAGCTGAAATTAGCATGTGGCCCAATGTTAGCACTTTGAAGTTTTCAGGCACACACTTAGAGTATCCTGGAGATTCAATTTACCTTTTAAAATAATCCAAATCAATAGGCTAAACCCTGATCAGTGACACTAGCACACTTAATTCTATGGAATTAGAGTTCATTAGATAGTACTTTTTAAAGTGAGGCTAGAATTTTTTCCAATAAAGGTAGTTTTTTTTCCCAGTCTCAACATCATTAGTAAATATAAATATCAGAATGCATATGAAGATTTTTAAATTTTCTATCATCATCCAGCATCTTTAAAATTGTGAACATAGGTATAGCAAGTAAGTAACAGATGGGAAAAAGATTCTGACCTAAAAAACCCCCAACTCTTTTGCTGAATGGCAGGTTACAGTTACTTCACCTATTAATGACTGGAAACACATATTACACACCAGCTTTTCCCAATTCCAGCTGGAAGAGAGGCAAAAAACATTGTGTAATTTTTGTTTTCCTCTTTGAAAGCATGTAGCTGGAGCCACTCTAGCTATTTGTTTTTGTTCCCTTTAGCTTTCAAAAGCCTTAATTGCTTTATTTATAAAGACATCTTTAAGAAAACCTGGGCACTGCAACTAATTCCTTTTCAGATATTTTTATAATTAACATTTTTGGAGGGAGTTATGTCCCATGGCACTCAGGATTATTGTCTGCACAAAGCACGCTAGGCATTTGTAAATAAGCTTTGTATATCAGTTAAACAGTAATTTGTGAACTAAATTTACATGGCAACATCAGTTATCTGTTTGGTAGAGGAATCCATCTTCCAAAGTATTCAAAACATTTATCGGTGATGGGTTAAGGAGCAGAAGAAGGGCTGAATAATGCTCTTTTGCACCAGTGTAAATCTAGAATAACTTCACAGACTTCATCTGAATACTCTGGATCTGTGTAGGTGGAAGTGAATATTTTTTATTAGTGCTACTGAGCTTGCAAATTCCAGCCAGTAAGCAGAAAAAATGGGATTTCAGTAGCTGACTCCTCTGTAAAACATGCTACAGTTATGTGCCACCTTGTGGTAACCTGAAGTTCCTGAAGCATTTTAAATCATAAAACTCAATACAGATCTAAGCTGTAATAACTGTATGTGAAACCAGAGGTAGGCTCCCTTCAGCTTGATTGCTGGAATTCTTAAGGCAGAATTTCTGATAATATTTTGTACTAGAGATTGCAAATAAAATATACTGCAGAAATTTAGCAGATCCCTCTAACTGTAACCTAGTGATTTTCAACAGTGGTACTACAGCACCTCTGGGTGCCATGAGATGCTTTTAAGGGTGCCATGCCACTGCCAAGTGG